AATTTTAACAAATCTCGGTAAAACAGACCAGAAACTATTTCTTGAAGTAATAGCAAAAAAGAATGTTAAATGCTACTCCACAGCCTGTATTACATTCTGGTTTTTTGAGTAAGCATGGTGTTTTCTTGAGTATCCTGCTAGACAACTTTGAATTCAGGATAGGTCCTTGGAACCTATACTTAGAGTTGGAAGTAGGATGTGGTAAGTCATTGTATTTGCCTTTAGACAGATAGTACTGCACTTGGAATGTGGAAAAATCTTCCTGAAGGGTGGTGTAAATAAAGGTTGCAAACAGATTGGAATACCATACATATTAGCTTGGGTCTGCTTAAAAGTTCTACGTTGTTGACAGTGATTCTGGTATATGATCTTAAGATCTTAGAAGAGAATGTTCTGTGAATTCCAGATCTCTGTATTAGAGAACTCAAGTATTACTACGTTGAAATTTCTGATTAATTTGTTCCTTGTTCTGATTAATTGGTTCCTTGTACCAATTTTAATTAGTAAAGTTAAGCTAGTGCTTAAAAACCCAGCAATTCAGTTATCATATCTATAGTAAATAGAAATGAGCCTCACTTATTATAACTCTTCTTTCAAGTCACATGGAAGATGAAATTTTTTTTCACTGAGACGCCATATTTTGTCTCCATGAAATGGAAGTAAACAGTAATACTGAGGTACAGTGTATATATACCACAAACTGAAATCACTTAGGCCACAAATCCACTGCTTTTAATTAGCCAGGATCACATGAGTAATTAGCCCCTTCCATTTCACTCTGAACATACTATCCTACATATACTTTATGTATTTGTTGCTTGTTATACTGTATATATTTTTATATAAATGATTATCAATTGATATATAAGGCAAAACATTAAAACCTACGTTTATTATGTTCTTAGTTCTGGGCATTAAAATATCATGCATCACTGATTTTTCTTTACCTCTCTCTTCTCCCATACCTAAGTATTTTCTATGAGGGTGACTCTTCAGAATATCCTGTGAGTAAAATGAAACAACTGAATAGCACCAATGATAGACAAAACATTAAAAAACCTCCAAAGTCACCATTAATTACCACTGGGCTTCCTTTCAGTGTTTGGCATCAAATTTCCATTTAAGGTATATAGCTTCAATCAGGAGGGCAAAGATTACTTATAACAAACAAGAAAAATATTCCTAATTTTTTTTAAATTTTTTTTTAATTTTATGATAGTCACAGAGAGAGAGAGAGAGAGAGAGAGAGAGAGAGGCAGAGACACAGGCAGAGGGAGAAGCAGGCTCCATGCACTGGGAACCCGACGTGGGATTTGATCCCGGGTCTCCAGGATCGTGCCCCCCGCCAAAGGCAGGCGCTAAACCGCTGCGCCACCCAGGGATCCCAAAATATTCCTAATTTGCATATAACAATGAAAAGAAAAGAAAATGATACTAGGAACTTGGTTCTCTTCTCTTCAAAAGAAAAAAAAAAGAGGAAACACCCGCCCCCCTTGTTTTCGTACTGTGAAAGTAGAGGGAAATATCCCGAACTAAAAGAAGTAATGCTTTCTTGAGATGACTCCTACTGGGTTCCTTATAATTTTGCATATAATGGGAATTGGAGTTGTACAAAACATTTTAAGAAGCTTTCCACATGGATTCATGAAGTAGTGACCTCAATAGGGATGCAGATGAAAAGCTCAACATCCACTAAACAACAACCAAATTTTGATGAGAAAATTGTTTTCCAAGGTAATGTTAAACAGATAAGTATCTTAGGTACTCCAATTTGTTTGCGATGTTACATTGAACTTAAAAACTCTCAGTTGATGGGGATCCCTGGCAGGCTCAGTGGTTTAGCGCCTGCCTTCAGGCCCAGGGCATGATCCTGGAGTCCCAGGATCCAGTCCCGGGATCAAGTCTCAGGATCGAGACCTACACGGGGCTCCCCGCATGGAGCCTGCTTCTCCTTCTGCCTGTGTCTCTGCCTCTCTTTCTGTGTGTCTCTCATGAATAAATAAAATCTTAAAAAAAAAACAACAACAACTCTCAGATGAGCAGAAATAAAAGAACCAGATTTCTTAAGTATGGTGAGGAGGAAATCAACCAGTTGCAAGAAAGCTCAGGAGAGAGCAAAGGTCTTGGGATAATCAAATGTGTATGCATAACATTGATATATATATATATATATATATATATATATATATATATATATACACACACACACATATATACACACACATACACACACACATATATATGTGTGTGTGTATATACATATATATTTCTGATAAAATATTGTATTGTGGAAGACATGTTGCACTTCCTGTTTCCCTTCTCACCAGCTAAGTCACCATGAGAGAGGCATCCTTTCTGCATCAAATTAGTCTAGTAGTTTGATTATTGGATCCATTACCTGTGGGGTTTTGTGACAAAATTAAGGTCTGCCAACTTTAAAAATAAAATTTCCAGTCATTTAGCCAGCAAAGAAAAATTGATTTGGGAGTAGTAGAGGAATTGCAATTTAGGACCTGCAAGCTATGCAGAAAGCATAGGCAAGTCTGAAGAACAAGGAGAGGGGCTTGCTTTTATAGAGGGCAGGAGGGACTTGGTTGTTTTCAGGAAAGGTTTATTGGAGAAAAGGAAGAGTTCTGGGTAGCAGCTTCTCATTGGCTGAGTTGTGGCAGTTTCTCTTCTAGGTTAATGACCCAGCAAGGAGAAAATCTTTTTCCTTCTTCTTCCTAGGGTTGGTAAAGTAAGCTGCTTCTTGTTGGGGTATGCAAAGTAAGCTGCCATTGCCTCTGGCTACATTTTGAATTAGGTTAATTTTGTTCATTTTCGTAGGTGCTCATCAATAGCATCTTCAGAGCATGAAGTAGAGTGGGCAAGAAGAGACTAATAGGAGCTTTTGAATTTAAGAACAGTGAAGAAAACTCTTCATTGATTTAGGACTCTCCCTCTCCTGTGTCTTGGGCAACATAAACTCCTGTACGTTGCACAGGCACTGTTTTCAATTCTTTAAGTATACAGTAATAACTCATTGAATTCAATACAACCTTATAAGGGCATTACTACCATTCTCCGCATTTGATGGATGAGGAATTGAGGCACTATGAGATTAACTGCTCAAAGTCATATAGCTATTTAGTGGGGGAAGGTGGAATTCCAGCCCCGGCAGTCTGTTTCTAGAATTAATATTTTTAACCAATATGCTTTGCTACCTTTCTTTGTATTTGTCCCTTTAAAATGAGGTTCACTAAACAAAAGATGTAAACTAGTGAGAGGACTGGGAAGGGTTAACTCCGAAGCACATCCCGGAGCAGGAAAAAAACAAAAACAAACTAGCCAGCGACTGCCAGTTAAAGCCCCCGTAGGAAATTCAATGGGCCTCCTGTTCCTTTAAACTCCCGCTTTCCCCCGGGGCGGACACTTTACAAAGCCTCGGCGGCGGCGGGACCGCGCTCCCGCGCACCTCCTTGCTCCCCCCAGCTTGAGGGCCCGGGGTCCGACCCTCAAGGGGGTTTCTCGGGGTCGGTAGCCGAACTAGCTCGGGTTCGCTTTCTTCACCCCCAACCGCTGCTGCACACGCCCTCCCGGGAATGGCGAACTGTAATTAACCCCTTAGCGCCCAGGCCCCCCCGCCAGCGGCTGGCGGCTTTTGAGGGGTGGTGAGGGGCCGCGGGTGGCCCGGGCGGTGCGCGGGGGCGGCCGGGGGCCAGGCGGGCGAGGGCGCCGCCGGCCGGGCTGCAGAGGCCGGAGCTGGGTGCCGGATGGCGCGCCGGCGGCGCGGAGGTGCAGCCCCGCGCCCCCTCCGAGCTCGCCCTCCTCGCCTCCTCTCCCGGCGCTCGGGGCAGCGGGCTGCCGGGGGCGCGCGGGGCGGGGGCTGCACTCCCGCTCCCCCTTGCTTCGCTCCTCCGGCTGGGTCTCTCGGCGACTCCTCTGCCAGCCCCGAGGAGAGTGCAGCCATTGGACAGGTCGGTGCTAGCTGCCGGTTTCGGGGAGGAAGGTGGGAGAAGCCTGAAGGAGCGAGGGGGAGGGAGGAGGGAGGAGGGTGCAGCGGCCGATCTGGCAAATTGCGAGCTGCCTTCCCTCCCCAAAGTGTGGAGCAGAAGCGCGGGGGAGCTCGGCGGCGGCGGCGCCTCCTCCGCCACCAAACTCCCGAGCTCGGCAGGGCTGGTGGCCGCCTCTTCCTAAGCCAGGAGGACCCCTCTCCCGATAGGTTTCGGCCCGACTCCCCCGCCCCCGCTCCCTCCCCCTCATTTCTTTCTTCCTCTTCCCTTTCCCCCCCTTCTTTTTCTTTCTTTCTTTCTTTTTTTTTTTGACACACACATATTCCCACCCCCCCACCCCCCACCCCCGGCTTCGGACCTTAGATCGCTGCAGCCCGAGCCTTCCCTGGCTCAGCTCTTTAGGGCTGCCCATCCCTCGGGCTGCGAGAAAGGACGCGCGCCCTGCGTCGGCGAAGAAAAGAAGAAAAACTTGTCGGAGGGGTTTCGCCGGCCCACAGTAACCCCCTTCCCGCAAACCCACAGCTCCCGCGGGGGCCATCCCAACACTGGGGAAAGTTCCTCTGAGCCGACAGCCCTCTTGGATTTGCAGAAGGCAGCCGCGCCGGCTGCGGAGCGTACCGCGGGGCTCGGGAGTCCCTGCGTGCGGGCACCCGGGGGGCGCTGCCCGTGCGGAACCGAGAGTTCGCGAGCCCCGGCTGCGAGTGGCCTTCCCTCCCCGCAGTTGCCCTGTGTCTGGGTGTTGTGGCAAGTTGCGAAGAGAGACCCGGAGGTCCGGAGAGAACTGCACTCCCCTCGCCCTCCTCCCTGGCTCCTCTTCCCAGCTCCTGAGTGTGAAATCCCGTCGAAATTTTACAAAGGCCTCCAGGTTCCGCGGAGACCGGTCCGCAGAGCTCTAACCCCTCGTCGCGGTCGCCCCCGTCCCCACCCGGAGCCCCGGAGCCCCGGAGCCCAGGGCGCCTGGGAAGGACTGGCGGGGCGGGGGAGGGAGGTCGCGGCGGCGGCGGCGGCGGCGGCGGCGGCATGGCGAGGTTCCCGAGGGCCGACCTGGCCGCGGCAGGAGTTGCGTTACTTTGCCACTTTTTAATGGACCGGTTTCAGTTCACCGAAGGGGAGCCTGGAAACCAAATCAATGGTAAGATGCACTTTCGCTTGTTGATTTTGTGCGCAGCTGAAGACCTCGCTAACACCCCCCACCACCACCTCCCCCATTCTCAACCCACCCCCCCACTTCATCTGTCTGCCCTTGGGAAAGTTACTGCAATTGCTTTTCGGGTAAACTTGGGCTTTCCGAAGGGGGAGAAGATGGTCGGTTTAGAGAAGGGCACTGGCGGGGGGGGGGGGGTGTCTGGAGGATTTCGGGCTTCCTTCACCTGAGCGACAGGGGGTGGTACCGTCTCCCCAAGTCTCCCCGAGAGGGCTCTGGTGTGTGAGAGCAAACCTTGTGTAGATTCCTCTCCCGGTAGCTGGCATCCCTGGGCACTCTCCCCTCTGGCTCCTGCTGCCACCCTGCTGCCGCGATAAACTAAGCGAGTGCGTGATGGGGGCTGTGGGTGGGAGACGTGGTGGCAGCCGGAGATTGCAGCCCCCCCCCCCCTTGGCTGGAGGAAAAATTTACTGTGGCCGCACCTTCCATCCCCAGGCGATCCCCACCTTAGCTCCCTTTCGAGGTCTGGGGCCGACGGGGCTCTGGAAGTGGGGCGGGGTAGGTGCGGCGGGGCGCAGGGGAGGGGAGGAGGCGACCGGACCGTGGTGGGCGCGCCTCGGGAGACCAGTCCCTGCCACCATTGTCCTCGGCCGACCGGCTTCGCAGACAGGCCTGAACGTGTCCGGGGTTTGTCCAAGTGCCCTGGCAATGCCCCCACGCGGAGACCTGGTCTTTGCATCCTCCCAGGGGCAGTGTCCTCTGCTCGGGCGGATGCCAGCCAGGTGCGCCTCTGGTCGGGAGCCTCCACCCGCGGCCCGCTGGCTCTCAGGCTGGGCGCTGCGGAGCCGAGGTCCAGGTGCCTCCCGAGAACTGGGTGCCTGCTCACCATTTCTGCCCCTCAGGAAGAAAGGGAAGAAACAGGCAGAGAAAGAGACCGTGGCAGAAATTTGTGAACTCAGGTTAGAGTTCGAAAGGAGGTGAAATGAACAAAAACACTTGGAGGAAAAAAAAAAGAAAAGAAAAAGAAAGAAACAAAAACTTTCTGATTAGGATGATCAAGGTTTTGTTTTCTTTTAATTCGGAAGGTGGGAGTTGTGGTGGTAAGTGCTTCCCTCTGAAAGCATACCTGTGTCCTCAAATGTCAAACACGAAAGTCGCAGATGGAAGCCTAGTGAGGTCACCTGGGGATTCCAGGTGAGATGAATCTTGGAGAAAGTCCTTGAATGAAATTTACCAATCTGAGACCTAGAAATCGGCTAAAACACTCTGCCCCCGGTGGGAATTCGTACAGAGAAAACACAGATTCTGACTCTGCGCTCCAAATTATGGTTGGAGGGGTGTGTGGGTTGGGAGGAGGGGGCAACATCATGACAACACTTCTAAAACTGTGAAATGCTTTAAAACTCCAAGTTTCCTGATAATTGATTTGTCTTTGTCCCATACAATTTTCTTCTGCATGAATGGATATAGGTTGTTATTTACTGGGTGCCATATCAGTAGATTATCCATTTTTGTTTATCTTTCATTGGTTTAAAAACATACGACTTTTACCCCATGGTATTGATACCTCATCACCACATTTATGGAATAAGTAGATGCTTAAAGAAAACAATTTACTACATGCCAAGGGAGGTTAGAGAGAGATGTGTGCCAAAATGCATCCCAAGTTGTTTATTTCAAAACTTCTTTGGCACTGGTTGTAAGTAATGCATTTACAGTAAATAATAAATGAATAAATGTCAGCAAATATTTATTTTTTCTGAGCTTCTTCAATTAATGATATATTATTGAGAAAATAATATATATATACATTTTCTATTCTAAGTTCTCAAATTGAGGATGAAGTAAACATTCCATTCTAAAATTGGCCAGATAATTCAAAGCTTTGTGAATTAGAAAATACCTAAGTTGTTCAACATAAATGTACAGGTGTTACAAACTAATTATAAACTAGTGTCCACGGTGGAAAATTACTTTAGAAACCCATATGTTTATAGGATTGAGTAAAAAAAAAAAAAAAAAAAAAAAAAAAAAAAGTTTTAAATTTCTTGGTAAATGTTCTGGAGATTTATTGAAAGCTGAAGTAGCTTCTTTACTCAATATCAGTCTGCTTGTAGTTTTTGAATAGTCTTGGAGTTAAATGGTTAGCCTACTGAATATATAAAATACAGCAAAGAAAGAAGAGAAAAAATAATTTCTTTTGTAAGTAGTCTAGGTAGAAGTTCAACATGGGGAAATTTTTAAAAAGTCCAGCTGTCTTAAAATTCACCATGTAGCAATCAGGATTTTTATCACAGACATTTTGGCACAGGGGAAAATATCTGATTTCATAACAGGGACATTCTAATTATGTATTGCTTTAGAACTGCTGCAGTTGATTTTATTGCCACCAGAGGGCAGAGAAACTATTTTCTCCTGTTCTTCCCTTTCTTTCCAAATGTCTCAGATTAATGATCTTCAATACTTTGTTTTTCCTACGGGCAATATTTTTTTTTTTTTGATATTTCAACTTACCATTTATAAATGAGTGGAAGTTTGTAATAAGGAGTGTTTATTTCCCATGTTTATTGAAATTAACGATTCATTCAACATTTATAAAGTTCCTCCTACGTGTAAAGGTGTAAACTTTGAATATATTCTTGTGGTGTACTTGTATGATGGAAAAAAACAAGTACCCTTTTTTGCAGCATTGCTGGAGATTTTTTTAAACAAATTATTGTGGAATTCTCAAGAATGTGGCTTTAAAATGTTTCTCTTAGGATTAAAAGTTCATTATCATAATGAATTTATTTTTAGGATAATCTGCATATACCTCAGAAGTATTTGCCATACTAAATAGTTTTTCTCAACACCAGTATTTAGATAAAAATAAGCTTAGACTAATTCTAGGTTCTGTAAATCTGGAATCATCTTTGTATTGTTATATATTCATTTGTATATTCTAAATTGATTGAAAAAATCTAGTAACAGTGTCAAAGAGAACCATGTATTAATGGCTCAAATAATTCTAAGATTTAAATGTGGACAAGGGGGCTAAAATCATGTAATTATTTTAGCCTTGTTTTTACTCTTAAATGTGACTTAATGCAGTAAGGAAGTTCAGTACTGCTATATAGAGAGTAAAAATAGTTTAGGACTCCATGGAATTCCCACTATTTAAATTTCCTAATATTGCTATGTACTAGAAAGAAATAGTTTATTTTTAGAAGATCATTTACATTTATTGTAGCTGTTTCTCTAGTGGCATATTTTTCTAATTTCTGCTTTCATTGGAGTTAAAAGGCTTAATTTGAAATATTACTAACGTGTAGGAGAGTATCTCTGTTAGACATACCATCATTACTATAAATTTTTGTTTGCATATATAAGTAGAACAGAAAATTATAATAGAAAGTTAATTCAAGTGAATATTCTCTATAAAGTACATGTGAGCCAGATTAATGAACACATGGCAGGTTGATTTTCAATCAATCAATGACTCATGATTGCATATAAAAATTTTAAAACATGAAATGTGAAAGTCTTTTTCCTCTAGAGAATTGATACAAGTTGAAGCCTAAGGTTGGGTAAGATTTTTAGTTCATGGATGTCCACATAGAAATTTAAAATTATTTTAAGTAGGACAGGTTGTGTGTTTGTTAAGTTTGATCTTCAGAAACAGGTTTTTATCAAGTAGAATATACTTGAGTAAAACATAGTAATAGAAGATGCTAATTTGCTCCAAACAGCTTTCTTCTCTGCAAGAATCAGATACTTTCCTGCAGAGATACAGACAACGTAGATTCTTTTCAATTTGTTTTGTCTCTGCTTTTTTGCTTCCTCAAAGGTATTTCCTATCATAGAAGCAGCATGTTTATGAAGATTAATGAATTGATCAGCAGCTGTAATCATGAGATCTGAAGTCTTGAGCTGTTTCCTACGACAATAAACAGGCTCTTCATCGTGGCCTTCCAGACCTTTGTCATGTGGCCTAGACCTATTGTTTCACTTCTCACTCCTCTCCCCATTATTGAACACTCTAAGAACCCATTGAGGCTCCCTGATGTTCCCTGAGTATATAGGATGTGTTACCACCTGTCCTCCTTTGCTAATCCTCCCTCCTTTCTCTCTCTCCTCCTTCCTTAATCCATCCCTATCTGTCCATCTTCTACTTTTCCTTACAGGTTTATCTCAGGTGACACCCAGAACCCTCTGAGGACTCTGTGCATTTTTGACTCTGCTTAATTTAGGAAGACTTGTTCTTGCTGTTGCCTTTCTTCCCCCTTCCCATTTCTGTGTCTCTTTCATGCACTGTCTTAGACTGTATATCATGTTCTCCAGGCCACGGTCCACTACTGTTCATTTCTGAATCCCCCATGGCATCTACCACACAGGCGTGCAGTAAAGAGCTGTTGGACTGACCAATGGAATTATAGTTCAAGCTGGGTTATTGCCTTGAATGTCACCTTAGGAGACTTTTTAAAATACTTTTTACTCCATTGGTGACTTTTTTCATCAACAGGTTGGAAATGAATATACAGAGAGGTTTATAGAATTAATCATTTAAAACAAGAGAATAGGATCCGGAGGTCTTCTGAATAATCATGCTTCCAATGGATAATATTTACCTTAAACCTTCTATCAACAGATAGAACTTTTGAAAAGTTCATTCTATCGCTCAACTATACTTCTGGTTTCTGAATGGATTTTCACTCATGTTCTTCTAACACTTTCAAGTACAACGTGTGTGTATATTTGTGGGTATATATATATATATATGCATACATATACATATATATGTATGCATATATATAGTGATAATGTGTTTTCAGTGGAGATTAACAACATTAAATAGTTTAAACAGTTTAATTCTTTGTGAAATTACTTTTGAATTGAATTGTGCTCAGGCCTCATGCCATTAACCTACACTGAAGGAGGCTTTAAAAAGAAGTAAAAAAATAAAATAAAACAAAACAAAATAAAATACATAAAATAAAACAAAATCAGCC